TTTTTACGGTGGTAGGGCCACGCAACAGTGTTCGCCTGTTGCAGGAATGGGCAGGTCCGTCCGGGTAAGACTTTGAGACCTTGAGGTAAGAGTAATTCAATTGACATAAGAATTATCCAAATCGGCACGTGTTGGTTTCTAGAGCACAATAAAAGAACAAAAAGATACGTAGACTGATAACAACATTAACCTCTTTTGCGTCGCGCAGTCGAGTAAAATGGCCTTATAGATAGATGGGTCTTTGTAGCAATGGGCGTATTGATAAGAGTTCTGGAATAGGATGTGGACAACTAATTGTTACAAGCATTTTTACGATATCAAGAGGGACAACGTACTACATCTTTTGAAACATTTTCTCATTCATTGCTAAAAGAATGCTCTTCTATGCTATTATACTCTGAAATTTGCAGAAGTGCAGGTGAGTATGTGTAAGTAATAAATTAATTAAACAACCTCCATACTAAAATTAGTGGAAAATGACAATTTACTCATAATATTGTCTCTGATTTTTTTTTATGTGAAAGCGAGCAGACGGTTCACCTGATGTTCACATCCGCTACACCCGAGGGGTGCAGATGCGTTGACAACCTTTTGAAAATTGGGCTCCGGCCACCTCACTCATCAGACGAAACGCGAAATTATTATACTTCCACTTTACGGCACTCTTCTGCGAGGTCGTGGTACTTACCCGGACGGGCCTGCCCATTCGTGCAACAGCCGAGGCTGTTGCGTGGCCCTACCACCATTAGCAATTACTAACAATAACGAAGTATGATTGATTTTTATCCAAAATATTTTTATATCTTCGTTTGAAAATGTTGGTGTCGACAAACGTTCGAAATGCGACAACAATCATTATTGCAAACTTGATAAGAACGGAGAGTTTTAATTTTCATTTCCCAGCATTTTTTGTACTCTTGAGAAGAAAAGTAACTGTTCCGTTATATTGATAAGTCCCCTAAATCCCGTCAATAGTTTTCAATAGTTTTTTGTACATTTATCTACAAAAATTCACAATTTAAAGTTTAAATCTTGTGTGATCAAATAAATAGCACTAAAAATTATAATTAATCCTGAATAGATTCGTATTTTATAATGGTTCACCTGACGGCAAGTTACGGTGAAAGATGAAAAATGTTTTTATTACCGCAAAAAAAGAAACAGTTGTTATTACAAATGAAAATAAAAACAAATGCAAAGTATTTTGCTGACGACGGCTAGCGTTGGGTAGACATGATCGTTCAGGTTTTAACTAAAATTAAAATAGTACTAGTTTTAACTAATATGACTAACATTAAATATATTAATTTCATTTTTAAAGTTTTTTCTTTCCTCTTTTTTGCTATTTCTACATTATGTTAGTTATGGTTTGTTTTTTTGTTCTAAAATTCATATTTAATTGTAGTGCTAGTTTGGTGTTTTGTAGGTTAGTGTTCTCCTTAAATAAAACCGTGTTAATTAAACGTAAACACACATTCGATTAGTGTTTACATTTAATTTAAATGGATATATAAATGTTAATTTAAATGGATATATAAATGTTAGAGCCGTGATAGCTCAGTGTCCGGGCGCTCGCCTTTAATTCAATATACTCGAGCAACCAGAGTTCGATGCCCGGTGCCGGCACCAATGAAGTTTTTAACTTTAAGTGCTGACTTATCACGTGCTCCGCGGTGAAGGAAACATCGTGAGGAAACCTGCATATTTTCGAAATAATAACAAAAAAAAAATATTTGAAGATATGTGAAGTCCGCCAATCCGCAGTGGGGCCGCGTGGTGGACTATGCCCTGATACCCTCTGTATAGAGGAGGCCTTTGCCCAGCAGTGAGACATGTATAGGCTGTTACTTTACTTTTATATAAATGTTAAAGTTAATTTTTGAGGGTGTCACATCAGAATAACAATTGTTTTATATGTATTTATTTGGTAAGCCAATTAAATAAACAAGGCTGCGATCTGGTTACCTCACTAAGGTGACGGCGGTAAAAGAAATGTATAAACATTATCATGTCCATATTCTATAAGGCCGAGGTATTTACTTGGACGAGCAGACACAATCGATTGCGTGGCGCAGTTTCTAAGGCACTGGCCTCGGGACCGGTGGTCGTTGGTTCGATTCCCGAACACTACCATAATTTTTAAGTGTTATTCCTTAAGATCTGCGGGATTTGACAACTAATGTGACGTTATAATCATAAACATCGCGAACAACATCTGTATTGTGAGGTCTTTGTTCTTTATCGAACAGTAATTACTGCAAATAAATTAATTAATCATACCAAATGAGCCTTAATTTCTATTCGTCGTAAAATCAATTAACTCATTAAGGACGTAAGAACATAAATAGGGGGTTCTTACTTCCATTCTTTGCACATGTACATAAGGTCAGACGGCGAACACAATTAAGAAAAAGCATTAAGAGTACATTCACTAAAGAAATTTGTTTATAATTTGAATTCACCCAGCAGTGGAGTGAGTCAGGCGGCCGGCCGAAATGTACATTTTCTAACATACTGAAAACTGGTGAACACGGAACGTTAAAGGGTCATAATAAAGATTTTAATCATCATTATTGCTACTATTTAATCAAGGGATCCCTCCAGTTTCGCTATATCGTTTACATTTATATAAGTCGTATCCCGGATATAAACGGGCACAGACGCCGGTGTTCGATATAACTCGGGGAAACTATCGCGTTTTATCATAGTGCGGAATAAAATACAAACATCTCTGCGGAAATATACATATATTTGTATTATGTTACCAACCATCCGACATTAAAACTAAACAATATATTATTTATGATAAAATTCGGTTATCTGTAGACATAACTATGTTATATGGCAATAATCGTCTTTATGGAAGGATCTGAGTTGATAATAACAATATTTTCATCTCTCGCAACAGACATTGGTCAAGTTACCAAACTTAAACTTAATGCAAATATCAACCAATCAGTATACAATCTTAGAAACGTTAAACATATCTCTTATTACATACTTTTAAAATCACAGTTCACATGCCTAGGACAATTCAACAAGTTAACGTTATTATCACATTTCAAGTTAAGTCGGCGGAGATTTCTATAGTTCACTTAATTAATACCAATCCAAAACATTGGAACAAACATTGGAACGAACGTTCGAGTGGCTTCTACGAGAAAATCAGTCGAATCCTAGAAAAATCTCTCGATCATTGGCACAATTATCGATCGAACTAATATCACAACTTCTTACAGCGACCTTATTTATACATTATTTATAATACGGTTTGGACATATTCGATCTTACAACAAAACAATAGTACGGCCAAAATTGGATAGACGTTTCGCATATGTTACTGATAACAAACTACAACGGATGGAAAGTGTTTGATAGAACAATAGTTGTAACTCTACATGGGCTTTGGCTGTGAACGCACCAAGTTGCTGTATTGCGAAGAACAAATGATTGGAAACCGCTTTACACTCGATAAAAAAGTCAATGCAATATTCTTAAAACTATAGTAAAATCAAAAATAGATTAGATTAATTCCGACCACCTCGCGTAGGTTAAAATAAGAATATAGAAATTATCATACATATGTTTTATAGTAATCTGATCTTTTTAAAAAAAGAAAGCAACTGTTGAGTTTCTTTTCGGTCTGTTCTCAACAGAAACTGCGTTCCGAACCGGTGGTAACTTACGAACTAATGTATCAATAAATAATTGATACATTAGTTCGTAAGTTACCACCGGTTGAAATTCAACGCTTCATAATAACGCGCAACGGTCTATCTGAATAAAGATATTTTGCATTTGAATTTCACCGCCCCTTAAAAGGCCAAATTGAATAGTTTACAGTAGGTTTACTTTGAGGCGTTTTTCAGACAACTCAAAGTTATTTGATTTGATTTTGATTCCGAATCAGCCGGCAAGAGTTTCCGAAGTGCATCTGCCGTTTAGTCTACACGAGATGCATTGAAATTTCACCATTTCGAACGAAAGCTCTGCTGTGGAACGTAAATTAGATTTGTGACGTCACCGGTTCTAACGCATCGAGATGAATTACGAGGAGGCACTACGTAGCTGAGATTTGGCACGGGCGTACGCCGAAAGCGGTTGTGACGGACGAATTTACAAATATAAATAAATAAATATAAATACTTTCAGACCCATTTTTACACAACGTTCTCTATTCCCAATCCAAGCAGCGCTTGTACTATGGGTACTGGAAAACTGATAAACATACTTAAACATACTTTTCTTTTGCACATACATATTATACATATATAAACACCCAGACACTGGGAAAACAGTGTTCATCACACAATATTTTCCCAGTAGTGGGGATCGAACCCACACCGTGTGGCGAGAGGCAGTTTCACTACTCCCCACGGCAATCGGGTCAACTTCAAGATCTTCCGCAGGACTTTCAGTCGGAAGAAACTGTATCATAGATCCAAAGTGGAGCGGATTAGGGGAAATCCCCGATAAACACCATCGATCCCGTGTCGCGTGGTTTATCGAAATGTCATTGCGTTAATGGACGGATAGAACAAAATGCGACTGCGTTAAACTATCTAAATACATTACTTCAGCTGTCGCTTTAAATGTCGCCATAAATTCAGTTCAGCGTAGTTAATACGTCCGCTTGTAAATCTAATATTACACCCCGACTTTCCTATGTTCGTTTATGCGGTAATATCGAACACACGCGCAACTAAACAAACTTGTAATACACGCGCGTTTGTTTATATCGGATTAACTAATGAGACTATATTGGATGAATCACGTAAACAAATCATCTTTTATATCACGAACAGATTTATGCGTGAAATCAATTGGCAAGTTCCACGAGTAATCATACCATTTTTCTATCAATTACACTAACAGGCGCGGTTAATTAACGCACTGATTAAATATATGGAGTATCAAATCGCGTGATGCAATACAGATGGGCAGTGCGTCCACAGCCTAGGGAGATTCCTCGATTGAAGCCTTACTGACGGGCAGTCCTAGCTCATCACAAACGACCTTACACTGCCCACAAAATACTCCGACACGATGACGGCAACGATCAGACCGACGTAGCCGCTGTAGTGGACCGCTTTGAGGAAGCCCCACGTCTTGTCGCAGAAGACCGACAGCGAGAGCAGGTGGAGGTAGCTGTGGGGGTTCACCACCCTCCAGAGGGCGGTGGCGAGGAAGAAAACGCCCGACCTGAACATCGTCTCGCGTCTCAGGGTCGGGTACTCCGTGCAGTTCTCGAGCAGCTCCTGGTACACGTCGATGTAGCGGTTCCAGGCTATCGAGGACAGCACCATCTGGCCGGAGAACAGGCCGAGCACTTGCACGATCCTCTGGAAGGTGACCTTCGTCTTGTACGATATCCCGACCTCCGCGCCGTGCGTCTCCTTCTCTATATCCTCGCACGTGTTTATCTCCTTCAGCTGGTGGTAGGGCAGCGTGCTGACGGGGGTGCCCCGGTAGCCGCGCCGCGGGGGGTTCCCCCCGAGGTAGAGCAGTATGCCCGTCATCATCGCGACCACGCCGAGGAGGTCGCACGCGCCGTCCACCCAGTAGCCCAGCGTGCCGACCTCGGACCTCTCGCCCTTTATGTGCTTTCTCGCTCTAGCCACGTGCCCGTCAAGGTCGTCGAGGAACATCCTCAGCTGGAACAGCACCACGCCGAAGCGACGCGCCGCCAGACTCTTGCAGGTGAGCAGTTTCGCGCCGACGCACGCGACCAGCACGTGGGAGAAGGAGATGATATTCGGCGTTATAAGCGGGACGCTCTCCGAGATGCCCGCAACGATGTCCACAACGGCACACAGCGGCCCGTATATGTAATGGTTCACGTGGTCCACCATCAGCGCTTTGACCGTCGGATGGCACAGCGGGTTGACGCTGCACGGTATCCATGCGACTCCCTCGTAGTCGGGCAACGCGTACCTCAGCGTGGTGGTCTGCGTGTGGTTGTCTGACGCGTCGAATGTGTCCAGGCGGTAGTGCCGTATCCTGAGGAACAGGAGCGTGTCCATGCAGACGCAGTAGACTATCGTGAGCAGCAGCAGGAGGGTCAGGACCTTGCTCGCTTGCGAAGACGGCCACATCATGTTGGTGGTCTCGCGTTCCGCGTCAAGTCCGCGCGAAGGTCGACCGCCGTGCGATCTCTAAATAGACGAAAGGAGCGGGGCTTCGTGCACATCACGTGTAGCACGCGGGAGGGCGCGTCAAGCGTTCCACCGCCACCATACTGGAGTCCCCGCGTGGGCAACACGACACAAAAGATTTAAAAATAAACCGTCACACGTTCGACCGTAAATTAGCCACGCTACGGTGCGTTCCAAAAAACACCACTGGAACGCGACGTCAGTTCGACACACAAATGCGAGATCGATCCCTCACCACGCGCGAGAAACGAAAACACCAGCGAAATCGCTGCGCCGCTAATACACGCGGGGGTTTAACGACGCTAGCACGTAACACATAAAGCAGGCAACCAATGTCAACCGCTCACAACGTCGACGAATGTCCCGATGTTTACATAATAAATTTATAATTCCGCGTGAAAACCGCCCGGGCGATGAGAGCGCGTAACGGTACCGCGTCCGCCGTAGTGTCGAGCCGCGCGCCAACTGCGGCGGAGCGGTAAAGGCGGGAGGTTTGCCGCCAAAACAGCTGTCATTCGGAAGGCAAAAGAACTCCCCGCAAGGAATACGGCCTCGGCCGAGCCGGAAAGACGATTTTTTTATTCTAATCCATTGTATTAAACTCAAATTAATAATTGACTCCCCGTTATCGCTACATTAGAACTTTTTTCAGTTACGTGTAATTTATATAATAACATAAATTATTAATATTTTATTCCGTTTCCGAGCTACATTTTTTTTAAGTTTAAAGAAATGTACACAGCAAAAAAAATGATTATATTCTATACATAACAAATAAAGGTACAATACAAAGGTTTATCTACGATTAAATGGGTAAATATATAAATTTGTTTGTGTGTAAAACCAAATAAAACATAATATTTAAATAAACAAATTGGTGATTAAACTATTAATACTATGATGATCTTATAGGACTGAAAAAAATCTTGACACTTTTTTTTATGCAGAGGATAATGGGTACCGATCGAACAGACATATTCTCTATAAGAAGGTCAATAGTAGAATGTAATTTTTGTCTTAGGTACATTTTATATGTAGGTAGCAGTATTTAACCATCTGTCCCGTGGGCATTCAAAAACACATCCAATCGCATAAAACTTCACTATTTCGCGAAAGTTAAAATAGCATTTAAGCATAAAAAAAATAATTAAAAAAGGCATATTATAAATTGTACATTACGTTCAAACTTCAAATAGCTTCAAATTATCATTTACGTATAAAGATTTAAATCAAAATAAAAAACGCGATAAAATCCGTAAAGTAGTTTCATTTAATATGTATAAAGATTTTTCTATTTTTTCGGCGACTCGGATACAATAAAAAAGCGTGCATTTTATTTAAAAAAAATTGATGTTCCTCATTTAAATCATTTGTTTGACAAACAGCATGAACGAAAATCTTTATTATAAACACTCATAAATTTCATCGCCTATTTCTAATCATTCATAACACATCGAAATGAAAACGGTGTAGGCATTTTGCAGCATATGGTATTGGGAGGAAACGTCGCAAAGGTCAGCAAGACAACCAAATAAGGTCAACTACCTAAAAGTAGGAATGTTCGGCGTTTACGCCCGGTTTCTGAAACACTGATCATCGTAGATGTTAACTAATCAGCTGTCAAATGGCTTTTCAAATGTCATTTGAGTTGCCAAAAGGATGGTTAAACTCTTTGAATCGATCATTCCGATCATTGAGACTTTAACCATCTTAAAATATGTAGAAAATGTACGAAAAGATTGCCGCCGCTGTGGGAATCGAACCCACGTCTTCGGCATTCGCGGCCTGACGCTTTAACCACTGAGCTAAACGGCTGATTGCCACACCGAAGAAAATCTTAACGTCTTTTCTCTACATTGTTTTTGAGCATTTGAAGCAATGCTTGGCGCATCCATTGTTATATCTTTTCCAGCATACAAACAATTTCGAATATCGTTTTACAACGATAATTCGAACGAGAGATGTCGGTATGACAATCAGCCGTTTAGCTTAGTGGTTAAAGCGTCAGGCCGCGAATGCCGAAGACGTGGGTTCGATTCCCGCAGCGGCGACAATCTTTTCGTACTTTTTCTACATATTTTAATGTTCAATCTCAAGTGCAAAGATTAGCACTATAAACAATTTAAATTTCTTTAACCGTCTTTTTGGCAACTAAAATGAAATTTGAAAAGCCATTTGACAGCTGATTAGTTGACATCTATTATGATCAGTGTTTCAGAAACCGGTCGTTAGTGTATCTCTTTCGGTAGCCTTTGTCGCGTGTGTAAGACACGACGGAATCAAACTATGTTAGAAGCTTAGAATGACTACTGATTTAAAAGCTATTCGTAAGGTGGTAGGGCCACGCAGCAGCCTCGGCTGTTGCACGAAGGGGCAGGCCCGTCCGGGTAAGTACCACGACCTCACAGAAGACCGGCGTAAAGTTGAAGTATGACAAATACTTTCGCGTTTCGTCTGGTGAGTGAGGTAGCCGGAGCCCAATTTTCAAAAGGTTGTCAACGCATCTGTAACCCTCGAGTGTAGCAGATGTCCATGGGCGGCGGTATTCACTTAACATCAGGTGAACCGTCTGCTCGTTTGACAACTTTTCGCATAAAAAAAAAAAAAAAAAAGGTCGGGTGATACTGAATACGTGATACCACTACAAAAAATAATATTACAATTGTAGATGATCGTACGACTAAAGTGTCCCGTATTATCCTCGTGAACCCATAGTCTCCATCGATAACTGTTTATATACTTTATATATTTCCAAGTATATATTTTAAATTTAATTATATATGAATATGTATATAACTTTTGTTTTAACTTAAAATTTGATTTGAAACTTTTTACACCTGCCTCTTTTGTCTCTGCGTCGCCCATAGGTTGACTGGTAGAGAATGCCTTAGGCATTAAGTCCGCCTATACACAATACTAATTTTTTGTGTAAAAGTTTAAATAAATAAATAAATAAATAACCAATTTAACCAAAAAGGTGCACCAATCCACCAATTCCATATTGATCAGATTTATAATTTCAAAACTTTTATACTAAGTTTTTATGGTAGGTACTAATCTCCGCAGTTAAGATGAGCATTGCATAAAATGCGAACAACCAATGTAAATAAAATAAGTTGAGATTTTATTCGGTGTGGCGATCGGCCGTTTGGCTTAGTGGTTAAAGCGTCTGAGCACGATTACGGAAGACGTGGGTTCGATTCCCGCAGCGGCCAAAAACTTTTCGTACATTTTTTCTACAAATTTAAAAACATTTAGACATGAAATGTCTAAATGTTGTGTGATGTGTACTAAGTATTCGCAATAGTAAAATATTACAACAAGTATAACTTGACCAAAAACCTACACGTTTTAAAATTAACAAAAAATTTTTATCGATATACGGATATATAGGTTTTTGAAACGTTCCGACTGTTCCTGTTTTTTTATAACATACCAGGAAGCAAACGGATAATTGAGGTGACCATTATTTCTAAATCACTAAACAGTTGCTACGTCGAATCTGCGTAGTAATCGTTTATAAACGATTAATAAACAATAAACAACAGAAGCCTTCCATTTGAGTCGTCAAATGTTAGTGATAGGGATTTTTTAAGACAACACAAAGCTCAAAAGGAAAGATATACGTAAAAAGACAATGTAACTACGAACTGTCTTATCGCGGTCGTCGTACATAGCATGGCTTATAGCAGCCGACTTAAGGTAGAATTTGTACGATAATTTTCTAACTGAAGCTAAGTAAAGTAACAGCCTATACATGTCCCACTGCTGGGCAAAGGCCTCCTCTATACAGAGGGTATCACAGTCCTCACATATTATTTTCGAAATATTTTTTGTTACTATTTCGAAAATATGCAGGTTTCCTCGCGATGTTTTCCTCCACCGCGGAGCACGTGATAAGTCAGCACTTAAAGTTAAAAACTTCATTGGTGCCGGCACCGGGGATGGAACTCAGGTTGCTCGAGTATATTGAATTGAAAGCGAGCGCCCGGACACTGAGCTATCACGGCATGTCCCCGTTTTTAAAATCGTGTGTTTAGACACAAACACATTCTGTCGGCGTTAAGAACTTAACAAAATCAAACGAATTTAAAATCGTCTGACATCATTTCTCCTAAAATTATACAAATAAATACGTACTATGTGATCAGTCACCGAGTGGTAATATAATAATATGCAAATAAGTCTGTGAAAGTATTTTTTGTTACGAATAACGTTTTTCGTCATTAATATAAATAAATTATCCAAAGATGGCATTATCGTACATTATTTAAAAGAAATTTTTAAATGAAACATTTTTTATGACAACATTATCACATGTATTCTATACTTGTTTATTGTCCGTCAATAGCGGCAAAAAAATCATAAACCAACTGGAGACTGAAGTTTATTATTGGTATTATAGTATATAGATGTACGTATACAAAACATTATATGAAACTTGACCGATTTTTAAACTTATCACGGTTTTTTTATAACCCTACATTAGCGTAGCCGGGGACGTCATCTGGTATATAGATCATCTACACTCACAATGAAATGAACCTACTACATAAGAGAAGTACATCGAAAATTATTAAAACGAAACTTTTAAAATAATGGCATTATCATACATTATTCAAAAGAATTTTTTCTAATAAATACGAAAGATTTTTTCAGGAAAACGATTTAGGTATCTTAAACAATTTTTTTGCATTCACTTTAAAGTCATAGACAGACTGGAGACTGAATTTTACTATTTTGTAATACATATACATAGATGCACATATACAAAACATTATATGAACTTTAACGATTTTTGGCACAAAGTAATTAATTTTTAAACCTGTTACGGTTTTTTATTTTAACCCTACACTAAGAAAGCCGAGGACAACTAGTATACAGATTATTTATACTCAGGACGTAATGAACGTTCTACTTAAGGGAAGCGTCAACATTAAAAC